ATGTCTACAATGGTCGATTTCACAATCTAAGCTGATTAAAATGATTTGATATACCAGCCTGACAATCCACTTCAAAGCCAAAATCACCCCCTGAACAGAAACTGCAAGAAACTAAACCCTCCAATCTTTTAGAGCCAAGGAAGCAGCTATCTTAACCTCTGTTTGATCCGCAGTTACCATGGTGCTGCACATGTGATAAATTATGACACCAGCCATTGAATGGCTTGACAATTCAGTTTAGAGCACAATGAACTGCGACCATTATCATTCACGGTATGCCTTAAATAGAACTGTTCGGAGAACAGTTGAATCGATGGGTTGGAGTAGAGACATAAGTCGTAATACCTAGCTTACTCTTTGCTAAAGAAGGCATCCAACTTGCTGCGTGACCAGTCCTGACCGGAAGCCTCTTCCCTTCGGCACTCCAGGTGACAATCTCACTCTGATGTCATCGTGTACAACGCAGGGCAAATAGACCACCCACAACCCGAGCATCAGACTACCACAGCAAGAGGCCATTCACACCATAAAACTAGCACTAACATGAGCACATGTGGCTGCATGACCAGTCCTGACCAGAAGCCTCTTCCCTTCAGCGCTCCGGGTGGCACTCGCACTCAGATGTCATCATGTAAAATACAGGGCCAATAGACAAACTACAACCAGAGCATCAGATTGCCACAGCAAGGGACCATTCAAACCATAATGCTAAAGCTAACACAAGCACGTGTTGCCGCATGACCAGTCCTGACCAGAAGCCTCTTCCCTTCAGCGCTCCGGTTGGCACTCGCACTCAGATGTCATCATGTAAAATACAGGGCCAATAGACCACCCACAACCAGAGCATCAGACTCCCACAGCAAGGGACCATTCAAACCATAATGGTAAAGCTAACACAAGCACGTGTTGCCCCATGACCAGTCCTGACCAGAAGCCTCTTCCCTTCAGCACTCCGGATGGCATTCACACTCAGATGTCATCATGTAAAATGCAGGGCCAAAAGAGCACCCACAACCCGAGCATCAGACTGCCAGAGCATGGGACCATTCACACCATAACACTAGCACTAACACAAGCACATGTTGCCACATGACCAGTCCTGACCAGAAGCCTCTTCCCTTCAGCACTCCTTATGGCATTCGCACTTTGATGTCATCATGTAAAATGCAGGGCCAATAGACCACCCACAACCTGAACTTCAGACAGCCACGCCACAACGCTAAAGCTAACACAAGCACGTGTTGCCAAATGACCAGTCATGACCAGGAGCCTCTTTCCTTCAGCGCTCCGGATTGCATTCACACTCATATATCATGTAAAATACAGGGCCAATAGACCACCCACAACCCGAGCATCAGACTGCCAGAGAAAGGGACCATTCATGCCATAATGCTAGTGCTAACACAAGCACATATTGCTGCATGACCAGTCCTGACCAGAACCCTCTTCCCTTCGGCGCTCCAGGTGGCATTCGCACTCAGATGTCATCATGTAAATGCAGGGCCAATAGACCACCCACAACCCAAGCATCAGACTGCCAGAGAAAGGGACCATTCACACCATAACGCTAACACAAGCACGTGTTCACTTGTGACCAGTCCTGACCAGAAGCCTCTTCCCTTCAGCGCTCTGGATGGCATTCGCACTCATATATCATGTAAAATACTGGGCCAATAGACCACCCACAACCCAAGCATCAGACTGCCAGAGCAAGGGACCATTCACACCATAACGCTAACACAAGCACGTGTTCCCGCATGACCAGTCCTGACCAGAAGCCTCTTCCCTTTGGCGTTCCAGGTGGCATTCGCACTCTGATGTCATCATGTAAATGCAGGGCCAATAGACCACCCACAACCCGAGCATCAGACTGCCACACCACAGTACTAAAGCTAACACAAGCACGCAGAACCCGAGCATCAGACTGCCAGAGCAAGGGACCAGTCACAATATAAAGCTAGTGCTAACACAAGCACATGTTGCTGCATGACCAGTCCTGACCAAAAGCCTCTTCCCTTTGGCGCTCCTGGTGGCATACGCACTCTGATGTCATCATGTAAAATACAGGGCCAATAGACCACCCACAACCCAAGCATCAGACTTCCAGGGCAAGGAACCATTCACACCATAACGCTAGCGCTAACACAAGCACATGTTGCCGTATGACCAGTCCTGACCAGAAGCCTCTTCCCTTCGGCGCTCCAGGTGGCATTCGCGCTCTGATGTCATCATGTAAAATACAAGGCCAATAGAAGTGAAGGAGATCAGCTCAGGTCCAATCCTTGGATCTTAGAACACTGCAAAGATGTTGTCTCTGGGGAAGGTTTGCAAACAGAGCTGCACGCGGGTGGTGGCCATATTTGCCAAGTGCGTATTTTCTGAAAACCGATACGTTCTCGGTGTGGCCTATCCTGCAACCTCAGCAGCTGCAAATTTCAAAGGTGCCCATGATGAGTACATTGGCGGTTAACGTTATGGAAAAATTAGTTTATCACTCCCCGCTGAAATAGTAGCGGCTATCATTTTTACCTGGTGACCCTCAATTTGTGCAGTCCAGACCCCAATGTGTGGAAATACAGACATCCCCCCCAGCTCATGGAGTGATGGCACTCTGTCCTGCAACCTGGATTCTCTGATCTGACACAAAAGGTCACATGACCCCTCTAATCCAGTTCACAAAGGGTGCTGGGACCCCTCCTTCTTTCTTCCTCCCCCCCAAAGAAGGCATATGTTATTATTACCTGCTCCTCACTGATCACACACTTTCCAGCCTCACAATCAAAGCAACAAGATTCTGACATCGCTAGACACACTTCCTGTCCTCAATTAAAGACTACAACAAAATGACCGCCACTATTTATTTTCATTTTCTTCAAATAGGTTCAAAATTTTAAAATAATAGTTTATTTTTTTTCCTAAGGCAGGTAAAGGCACCCCAAAAGAACGACTCCTCCATATTGATGAATATTTATATTGTATAGCGGTATGAACTAGAATTTGGTCTACAACAAAATGGACGCCGATGTAGTCAACAATGTTTTAGATAATACCATTAAAAAGTTTTTTTTATGATTCAAATTTATTCCAGCTTATGTGTGACTCCTGATTCATGTTATTCCTATTTGTTAATCCTTTTTAAATGACTAAAGAAAACTTTTTTTTTTTTTTTTTACAAAATTGCATTTTGGAAAAGGTTAAAGTGTTTTAAATAGTCTACAAGAAAATGGCCGCCGCTCTCCTGTGTAAAAGGGCCTTAATACACTGCCATCGTGCGCGCGTCTCCACGGCAACCAAGTAGCAGCTGGGCGGCCGTGGAACGCATAGAGAGGAAGTGCTGAAACCAACGGGCGGAAGTGAGAGGTGTGTTTCTGGTGCTGAGGGAGGACAAGGGCTGTGAATAGGAGACAGAGCTGAGAGAGGGCTGGGGGTCCAAATTATGCTACTAATAATAATAATACCGTTATATTAGTACTAATAACATATATATGTAGTTGTGATTGTAATGAGTCGAAAGTGTAATATTTCTACTGACCTCAATAAAATACCAATAATTATTATTATTATTATTATACAGTATTTATAAAAGCGCCAATAGTTCGCTCAGCGCTGTACATTACAAAGGGAGACAGAACATGTGACAGAACAATACCAATACAATGCAATCACCAATTTATAGTCATATAAGCTATATACTTCTAATTAATGTCAGTGATATTAATAGGTATGATATAATTGGTTTAATAGGTATGATATAATTGGTTTAACTCCAGCTGCATGCTTTACAGCGCGTCCAATCACAGGTGTGACAGAGCCCTTCTAGAGCAACCAATCAGATCGCAGACATCAATGTGTTTGGGTATTATTGGAGAGGAGTGGATGGCAGGATGGGCAACAGCCCAACTCTAGTTCCTATGTCAACACTTTTATTTTCTCACGTTGCAGAGAGTGAAGAATGGTCAGCCCCACCCACGAGGAGCCTTTCCTGGAGTCACCGCTGAGGAGGAGTCATATGAAGGAGAGGATACTGAACCTCACCCTTGAGATCATCTACCTGCTGACCGGAGAGGTGAGGAGGATTCTGGGAGGTCACATGACGTCACTCTTATCTCTATTAATAAAAACCAGACCTGAAAGGAGAGGTGAGGAGGATTCTGGGAGGTCACATGACATCACTCTTATCTCTATTAATGAATACAGACCTGACCGGAGAGGTGAGGAGGATTCTGGGAAGTCACATGACATCTCTCTTACCTCTATTAATAAAACACAGACCTGACCGGAGAGGTGAGGAGGATTCTGGGAGGTCACATGACATCACTCTTACCTCTATTAATAAAACACAGACCTGACCGGAGAGTTGAGGAGGATTCTGGAAGGGTCACACTCGGGGTTAACCAGCACTGGAGCTTGTTATGTTAACATAGCCTGTGGTTGAAGAAATTATAAATTGTTATGGGTATTTGATACCATTTTTTACTAGGATTATGGACCTGTAAAGAAAAGGCATGTCCTTTGACATCCAACTACTCTCCTTATGGGTTGGAAGGATGGGGAAGGAAAGAGACAACTATTTTGGATTCTCCACCATCCTCCTTAACACCTGAGACAGACAACGAGAAGAAGATTCTAGAAGTCGCCCAGAAGATCATTGAGCTGCTGACGGGAGCGGTGAATGGTGCCAGGATTTCTGGGACATTTTCCAGTAACAGACAAGGGATGTGTCTCGATGGTGACTGTATCATTGTGTGTGTCAGGTTCCTATAAGATGTCAGGATGTCACTGTCTACTTCTCCATGGAGGAGTGGGAGTATATAGAAGGACACAAGGATCTCTACAAGGACGTCATGATGCAGAACCGGCTGCCCCTCACATCACCGGGTAAGAGGAGGACTTTCATTTCTTGTAAAGGAGAGAAGAGTATTGAGGATCCACCTAGCTGCACACATCCTCTTATATAAAGACATAGAAACAATGTATTCAGTCAGTGTGTGTGTTTCTTACAGATGGATCCAGTAATGGGAACCCACAGAGAGATGTTCCTGTCCTCTGTATTCCCGGGACTCTACACAGGAACATCAGGAGATCCCTCAGGAGGATCAGGTAGGATTTTTTATGTTCCACCGGAATGCAACAATCTTGTCTCTTTGACTCATGTCTTGGATATGAGTTTTGGGTATTTCCGACCAGTTTTGCGTGTCCCAGCTTCCCCTGTGATTTCACACAGAAATATCATGAAATCCCTCAGGTGGATGAAATCCAGAATCTTGGTAAATCCTAAATTTGGTGTCCACCATATGACTTTAAATGTCTTGATCTTCTAATGTGTTATGCTTTTATTGAATCTCTATTCGTAAATCAGAAACATGGTCTAGTATGTTTTATTCACAGTGTTGAGTGTCTTTTTTAGGAACAAAATTTGATTAATATAAAAGTTGAAGAGAAGAAGGAAGCAGAAGAATATGTGATGAATGATGGTCCATGTAAGGAGGAGGAAGTTCCTCCAGAGATCAGCACAGGTGAGTAATAAACACTAAATCCAGAGAAGAGTCCCAGATTTTCTTTGTTTGGAGGACAGTAATTATTAAATGTTTGGTTCTATAGCAGTGGTTCTCAACCTGTGGAACCTCAAGACTCACATTTGTCCTTGGTCATTAAGTCATGACACTAAAATAATTTAATTTCCGAACCATTATAATTGATACCACAAAACAATGTATGCAGTGTTCTACAATGTGTATGCACTTTATAAACAGTAAACAAATGTCTTCCTTCCAAAATGGATAGTGCGGTAATCACAGCGCTAGTGAAATTGAAAGTGCTGTTGAGGGAAAAACCCAATAAATAAAACAATAGTTGAAACATAGAAAATTAATTACAAATAATGGGAAAATTGGGGATGCTTCTTGCTCTTGTTAAGTGCCTCAAAGTCTGGGGTGAGTATGGGGTAGGGGCATTAGAGAGGCCTGGGGAGGCGCTTGCCCCGCGGCCCAGTCCACCCTTGGTTGTGACCCATTACTTGAGAAACACTGTTGTCATTAGGTTTGTTTGTTGGGAATTATTAGCTTTTATGCCAAGGCTAATGTGTAGTCCAGTAGCAGATGATGTTTGCTGATAATATTTAACAACATGCAGTATGTTACAGATCAGAATACAGAAATAATGTCTTTACGTTGACTTTATGTGACTTTATGTGTCTTTATGTGACTTTAGAATTATTTCCTACAGATGAATCCAAAATGAATTCAGGTGAATTGTTTCCTACAGTTTCCTACATGATTCCTCAGAGAGATGTCCATGTCCTCTGTATTCCCAGTTATCCACACAAGAACATCATGAGATACCTCAGGAGTTTCAGGTAAATGATACTGAGGGTCTTACCTGGCAAGAAGTAGTATTGTTCTGTATCCCCTCCAATCGCAGTGTGTTTAAATTCTGGGTTGTTTTTGTTTTTTTTTTAGAGTAATGGCCTGATAATTGTCAAGGTTGAAGATCCATATGTGAGGGATGATGAGCCATGTAAGGAGGAGGACATCCCTTCGGAGATCAGCACAGGTGAGGAATAAACACTAAATCCAGAGAAGAGTCCCAGATCCTTCTTGTTCAGTCACTACAACCATCTGTTCTCCCCCCTCCTCTCTCAGTAGACAGTAATGGGGGGACAGTATGTGCCCAGTGGGGCAGTCAGGAGCCATCAGCCTCTATTTGACTCCGGCTATGAGCCATGTAAGGAGGAGGAGATCCCTCCAGAAAACAGCCCAGGTGAGGAATAAACACTAAATCCAGAAAAGAGTTCCAGATCCTCCTTGTTCAGTCACTACAACAATCTCTTCTTCTCCCCCCTCCTCTGTTAGTAGACAGTAATGGGGGGATAGTATGTGCCCAGTGGGGGAGTCAGAAGCCATCAGCCTTGTTTAGACGCTGGCTCTCCTAAAAGGATCCAGTCTTAGGAAACAGCTGTATTATGGCAATAGGCAGCAGGTACGATAGTAGACCAGAAGAGCATCATGTGGCTAGGGTATGGTATCAGTATATGATAGTCTACATATCACATCTATATGAGCTGTTGGACATTTCATTCCAAAACCATGCTCAATAATATGGAGTTGGCTAAAACAGCCTCCACTCTTCTGGAAAGACTATCCATAAGAATTGTCTGTGGGCATTTTGGGTTATTTATTTTTTTAACTAAAAAGATAGATGAATACATTTTGACCAATATTTATGAAGAAAGATTATTTATTTGTAAAATTTTATAAGAAAAACACTTTTTTCTCAAAATGTTTGGACTTTTTCATTTATATAGCAAAAAAAATAAAAATCCCAGTGGTGAATAAATACCACCAGAATAATGTTTTATCTGTCTCAAAAAAATGCTAAAATATTCATACGGGTACAGTGTTGCATGACCGTGCAATTGTCATTCAAAGTCTGATAGCGCTGAAAGCTGAAAATTGGCCTGGACAGGAAGGGGGTGAAAGTGTCCGGACTGGAAGTAGTTAAAGAAGACATGGGTGAGCAGGCAAAAAGACATTTCCTTTATTTCTTATGGGATTCGTATTTTGTAACTGTAGGTCATAACAGAATGGCCCAATCATAAAACAAATCATGGCAAAAAGTAAACCAATGAAATGCCCCCCCCGTTCAAAAGTCTGCATCCCCTCAGTTCTTAATACTGCGTATTGCCCCCTTTAGGATCAATGACAGCGGGCAGTCTTCTGTAATAGTCGTCTATGAGGCCCCGAATTCTTCCAGGTCATGCAAAGTCTTTCGTCGTCTTGCATGAACCGCACATTTGAGAATTCCCCAGAATGGCTTGATGTAATTAAGGTCAGGAGACTGCGATGGCCACTCCATAACCTGCACCTTTTTCTGCTGTAACTAGTGGAGGATCAACTTGGCTTTGTGCTTAGGGTCATTGTCGTGCTGGAAAGTTCAAGAGTGTGCCATGTACAGCTTTCGTGCAGAAGAATGCAAATTGTCTGCCAGTATTTTCTGATAACATGCTGCATTCATCTTGCCACCATTTTCACAATGGTCCCTGTGCCTTTAGAGCTCACACACCCTCAAAACATCAGTGAGCCACCACCATACTTCACAGTGGCGATTCTTGTCGCTATAGGATTTGTTGACTCCTCTCCAAACATAGCGGTTATAGTTGTGACCATAAAACTCTATTTTAGTCTCCTCACTCCAGATTACACTGCGCCAGAAGCTTTGAGGAGTGTCAAGTTGTTGTCGGGCATATTGTAACCAGGCTTTTTTGTGGTATCGGTGCAGTAAAGGCTTCTTTCTGGCAACTCGACCATGCAGCTCATTTTTGTTCAAGTATCCTTGTATTGTGCTCCCTAAAACAACCATGCAGTCTTTTTCCAGAGCAACCTGTATTTCTCTTGAGGTTACCTGTTGGTTTTTCTTTGTATCTCGAACAATTCATCTGGCAGTTGTGGCTGCAATCTTTCTTGGTTTACCTGACTTTGTCTTGGTATCAAGAGATACCCGAATTTCCCACTTCTTAATAAGTGATTGAACAGTACTGATTGGCATATTAAAGGCTTTGCATTTCTTTTTTATCCTTTTCCATCTTTATAAAGTTCCAGTACCTTGTTACGCAGGTCTTTTCACAGTTCTTTTCTGCACCCCATGGATCAGTATCTAGCCTGCTCAGTGCATCCATGTGAGAGATAACAAACTCATTAACTAGTTATGCACAGACACTAATTGCAATTTAACCACTTGCCGCTTGACGGCCGGGCGAACCTCTCATCCCTCCAGGAGGGCGTCATATGACGTCCTTCCCAGATTGCGCTTTGCACGTACCTGCAGGGCCCCGCTGTGGCAAGATCTGTCACCGGCCTCGTTGCCCGTAGCATGTGACCTGCTGTGACCAATCACAGCAGGTCACATGACAGTTGTATACAATGGATGGCTTCATTTCATGCCATCCATTGTATACAAGTGTGTCTAGCTGTGAATAGTCACAGCGATCACATGTACAGGCTGGGCCAATCACAGCCCATCTGTGTCATGTGATTAGCCATGGCCAATCACAGCTAATCACAACAAAAACAACCTGAATAAATCGATTTAATTCAGTTAAATGCTATAGCAAAGACATTCTTTGCTATACGCAATCAAATTGTGTAAAAAAAAAAAAATACTGATCACTTCCCCAAAGTAGTACAATGTTACTATGGTAACATTATACTACTTTGGTCATAGTGTAATATGAAAAAAAAAACCCTTAAAAAAAGAGAAAAAAAAATTGAAAACAATTATCTATTTTAAAAAGAACCACTCCCCTGGACAGCCAATAGGAAGTGTCCATGTGATATGGACACCTGAAGAAGGACCTTACCTCCTCTGAGCAGAAGAGGAGGAAAAACTCGGGACTGGAGTGTGACATGACTGCAGATTTAGGTAAGTAAAAAAGGGATTTCGTTTTTTCTAATGCCAGCAGTCAGTTAGAGGGGGGTGTGGGCTTGGGGGAACCCAGTGATCAGCTTCAAGCTCCATTTTTTTATTTCCTCCAGATGGGCGATACAAAAGGTACAAAACAAAGCCAAGTGCCGTTATCCCTCCAGATGGTGCAATGAAAGGGCATGACATCACAGCAGGTTCCTTAGAAGTAAACCTCATTGCAACAGGCCTCCACCCCACATTTCCCGGTCCCCATCTTCCTGCTGCTCGCAGGGGGCATCCCCCCAACGTCCACCAACCTCCCACCTACCATATGACTCCTGGAGTTTTTAGGAAGTTCCAGTGCCCAGACTGCGACAATTGTTTTTCCTCAAGAACCAAAGTCATCTTGCATCGTACAACCCACACCGGCGAGAAGCCATATTCCTGCACCGAGTGTGGGAAGAACATTCGCTCAGAAGTCCCACCTCGTGAGCCACCAAATGGTTCACACCGGGGAGAAGCCCTATTTCTGCCCCACCAGCGGAAAATGTTTCAGCCGCCAAGCTCACCTCGTCGACCACCAATGGATTCACGCGGGCGTGCAGCCATACTCTTGCCCTGAGTGTGGAAAGTCTTTCTCTTCCTAGTCGAACTTGTTGAGGCACCAACACATCCACTCGGGGAAGAAGCCCTACTCCTGCTCCGAGTGTGGGAAATGCTTCATGGGCCACTCGAACCTGGTGAGACACTGGAGGACTCATTCGGGGCCTGTTTTACCAGCAAGGCGCACCTGGAGCGCCACGAGCGCAATCACACAGGTGAGAAGCCTTATTCCTGTTCTGATTGCGGCAAATGCTTCGCCCACAAGCCAAATTTTATCCTGCACCAGCAGATCCATGCCAACGAGAAGCCCTTTTCATGTCCCGAGTGCGGGAAGGGATTTGCCAAGAAGTCGAACTTCATGATGCACCAGAGGGTCCACAATAGCCAGAAACCGTTCTCCTGCACCGAATGCAGGAAGTCTTTTCCATGGCGATCGTCCCTAGTTTGTCACAGGAAATCGCACGGTGTGAACAAGATGACTCAATGACAGGAGGGTGGAGATGCAGATCTGATCTTGCAACCTTCCTTGCAAACAGAGAGCAAAGGGTTCCTGCTCCTTTTAATAACGGATTATTGCCAGCAATCCTGGACCCTGTTCTTCTGCCGATTGGAGATTCATATCATAATATTCGATCATTAAATATTCGATAATGTAATTCCACTTGAACAAAAAAAACCAGGTCAGTTATGGGGGGATAATGAATATGTCAATCCAACATTTCATATTCCTGCTATGTGCTTGCTGTACCATGTACTTGTATAGAAAAAGTCTCATGTCTCCAGTATGACATCCCTGGTGTTCCTGCCAGCCTATTAGAAACTGACCACACTAGGCATGAGAACACAGCGTGGTCAGTTTTCTGTCTGTGCTGGGAACTCAGCCTGCTCTCCTCCAATAATCAGACATGTCCTCACATGCCCCCACCCAGCCATTCACTTGAAAGATCGTCGTGCTGCTCTTTCTCCTCCCTCAGCTGCCTATGCTCCTTATTAACCTGAGAACAGAGGAAATATGATCACTTATTAAAAAAAAAGGGGAAGGGAGGGTATTTATAACGTTTTTTTTTTATATCTATACATAAATGTTTTGCCTTTCATTTGTATTTTAAACTAAATGGGTTGTTTTACAAGGTGAAGGTTCACATATACTATTTTCAAATATCATTGCACATTCTTACCTACTTCTGGTCTGTAGCTATTGAAACAGGTCATTGCAGTAACTTCCTCATAATGATTGTGGGGGAAGGATGGTGATCTACCCGCTAAACTCCCAGCTGGTCTTGGTATTGCCACACCAACCTTAAAGTGTTACTAAACCCAGGACCCTGCACTCACTATATCCGCTCTCCCTGGACCCTGCACTCACTATATCCGGTCTCCCCGGACCCCGCATTCACTATATCCGGTCTCCCCGGACCCCGCATTCACTATATCCGCTCTCCCCGGACCCCGCATTCACTATATCCGCTCTCCCCCCGACCCTGCATTCACTATATCCGCTCTCCCTGGACCCTGCATTCACTATATCCACTCTCCCCGGACCCTGCATT